AGAAAAATAGAGGACCTTATAAAAAATTGACAAGTAATAAAATATTACAATCATGTTCAAGTCCAATTTTGTGATTAACTTACACAACTGGGGTGAGTATGTCCACGTTTCTTTCTTGATGTTACAATCATAAGAATTTGGGTATATAATTTGTGCCATACATATGAGGAGAATCATGGGGCATTTGTTGAAGCATCATAGTTGGTAATGGATAGGATAACTCCATAAACTTTGTTTCCTTTTCCATCATATAACCCTCTTGTGCCATTTTAAGAAGCTCACTATGTGTGCAACCATTTCTTAAGAAGAACATTCGCTTATATATTAGGGTACTGAAAATTTGAGTGAATACACTAAATACCTAATAACACAAAAAATAATTAAAGCTATAATATAACAAAAACACATGTCAAACTCATATATAAGCAAGACCAAAAAATAACAAAAACTCAAGAATAAAAGAATCAATTTTATTTGTTACAAATTTAAGTTAAATCTATTTTACAAAAAAAAACTGAAAATAGACTTCAAACAAAATCTACTCCTGAAGTCTGCTTCTAATAAGCTAAATACCTAATAACATGAGAAAACTAATTAATGCTAAACTATAACAAACAAATATGTCAAACTCATACATAAGTAAGACCAATAAATAACACACTTAAGAGTCAAACAATCATTTTTATTTGTTACAAAATTCAAATTGATGAATTTTATAAAAAAGATTTAAAATGCACACTCACATGAAGTCTGCAACTAATAAACTAAATACCAAAAAAAAAAAAATGATTACACCATATATATACATACCATATAAATATATATATCATATAAATATGTAAAACGATACATAAGTAAGTACACATACTAACACAAGCGCAAGACCAAGAAAATCTTAAAAATTCATTATAAATTTTATGAAAATACGCTTTTTAAAAAAAAAAAAAAAGTAAAAAAGTAGACTTCGTTGACTAACAATGAAGTCTACACAAGTATACTTCGTATGAAGTCTATACAAGTATACTTTGTATAAAGTCTATGTTTGAGGTTACTTTTGCAATTGCCAAAAGGTTAGTAGACTTTATGTGAAGTCTACTCGCTCTGAAAAGTCTACTCCTAAAATCTGCTTAAAAAGATAGGTTAGTTTTGCAATTGACCAAATTTTAACTTTTTTGTTTGAAGTCTACTCAGAGTTAGTTTTGGAGTTGACCAAATATTAAATTTAATTAAATAGTAAACTTTGTTACTATTTAATTAAACTTTTCCAAATCCTAAAAGTAGCCTCAGTAGACTGTAAAGAAATCTGCGAAAAAGTCAAACATTGGTCAATTGCAAAACTAACATTTCTTTTCTGCATACTTCTAGTACAGACTTCGATAAGAAAGGTTTCATCTTAGTCAAATGCAAAACTGACTTCTTTCTCACGTAGTCTTTTTTTTGAACTCTATGCCTTTTTTTTTGTCAAAAGAAATAGTGCAATCTCCAATCGAAGTCAACTGTCAGAAATTGGTACACATGGTTAATTTCAAAACTAACATGTGCATTGACTAGCAAACTTTTTCTGAAGTCTACTTACGAAGAAGACTTCATTTGCGCCACAGATCAAAAAATTCTTGAAAATCGGCTGAAGAATCACCTACTAGTGGTCTTTAGCTTCTTCGACCGTCAAAGACTTTGATTTTAGCCATCACCAAAGAAGCTTAATGCCTATGCACGACCAAATCACCGGATATGATAATATTTTAGAACATGATAGCATTTTTGGTTATTATTGAAATTGCTTCAAATTGGTTAAAAAGAGTAGTTTGGTGAATTAATGGTGACCACGTTTTTGTGAATAAGTGAGGAGTATGAAGATTGTTTGTTTATTTAGATTTTCAGAAGAAAAAAAAACTATAGACAATAAATTGATGATAATTTTATGAATATATAAAACTGAGAATGATGAATTTGAGAAAAAAATAATTAATGTTAAAAGTGTTAAAAATGTAGATTTAGTTAGTAATTAATCACAAATTATAGGTCATTTGTAAAAATTCCGCAAAAAGTGTAGTCTCCGATTGGTAACACATTTTTTATGTCGCGGAATTGCGGAATGGCGGAAAAAATGAATTGCGGAATAATTTATTGCGGAATTGCAGAACTTTTTTTTTTTACATGATTGGATAAATTATGAAAAATGGTAGAATGGCGGAATTGCAGAATATGCTTATTTGAAAATATTCTATTTTTACTATATATTATAAAAAATAAAATATATTAATAATTTAATCAATTATTATAAAATGATATAATTCTAATTGTAACTTTTTAATAATTTGTTTTTCAAAATAAATAAAAATTAAAAAATATTGCAAACCTTAAATAATAGATATAACTTTATCATTAAATAATTTTTTGTAATACTAAATTATTTATTTGTAATTATTTAAATAATAAAATTTAGTTATATAATTGAATAATATAAACATTAATTCTGTAAATAATCTACTCCAAACACGTTTTTCTGCTTAATGAAGATTTCTTTATATTTTCTGTAAGCAAAAACGTAATTCCGCAGATCTTGTGTTTTTGCGTTTTTTCACAAGTTTTTTTAATTAAAAAAATTCTTACGTTTTTATATTTTCCACCATTCCACCATTTATCAGAATATTTTTTCTTCATAACTAATTAAAAATTGAAGAAAGATTTGGGATCAAACTGCAAAACACTTGCCTTTCCTCTTTCTTTCATTCCTTTTTACCTCAACACATTAAAAAGTCGAAACTTCTTCTCCCAGAGAAGAATCTGTCCCTCCTTGCGTACAAGCAAAGCCCGAGAGATGAGAGGTACCTCAGCGACTGGTCTTTGGCATCTTCTACTCTTCGCTTCGATTTGGCTTCACTTCGTCTTAGGTTCGTCTTCATCAGATCTGTGATTTCAATCCCAGAAACCTGATTTTGATTTTGTTTCATGTCTATTTGGTAGAATCATTAGATTCACTGAAATTCTGTAAGAGATTTAGGTGATGAAGCCACTAGATTTAGGTCGAATTTCAGCTCAGAAAGATTTGTTTGATTTCCCTTCTTACGGTTTCAAGGGATCACCAAAGGTCGAAAAAGTGAAGATTTGTTGTTTCTTAACTATATTCCCTGTTGTGTAGTTGTCGTTATTGCAAAATTTAGACAAGTAAGTTCAAGTTTAACTTGTTGTCGAAGAGCACTTGATTCCATTGAACATGGTTTGATGATAGTTTGTCTTTTAGAGTCACTTTTTGATCAATTTTTTGTAGTTCTCAGTCCCAAGAATGTGTTCAGTGGATCTATCAATGTTATATCATCCCTGAAAGAACAGTAATTTAAACTTTTACAGGAATTGTTGTTTTTTTATGTAACTTACCATCATGATATTTGTGTAAATCATCTGTAGTGTTTCATGTTTAATGCTGTGTGTGACTGATGAAACTGTTCTTTCGATTCCTCGCATGTACATCAGCCATTCTCTATATTTAAAATTCTGTGAATGGTATTGATCATTAAACATGAAAGACTTTAGATGATTTATACAAATATCATGATGATAAGTTACATACGAAAACAGTAATTCCTGTATAAAAATTAAAAGCTCAACAAATCAGTAAACCAAATTGATCATATTCTCTGTTTGATAAGGTGTGTAGTTGTTAGTATCAAATAGTTAGCAGCTTCATGTTATTGTGTTGGTATGATGTTTTTCAGGTGTATCTGGTGATTCCAAGAGTTCGAGTTCGAGTACTGGAGCAAAGGCTGAGTCTTCTTCCAGCAAAACGGGCACAAAAGTGTTACTCATACTGATCGGTTTTGGAGCTGTCGCGGGATTCTCGTTCTTCCTATACAAACTGTGGCAGAAGAAGAAGAGAGATGAGCAGTATGCTCGGCTGTTGAAACTGTTTGAGGAAGATGATGAATTAGAGGTTGAATTAGGTCTCCGTGATTAAGAAAAGCAAATCTACAACAATGTCTGAGGTAATGTTTTGGATTGTTTGTTCTGGTTCTTGCTTATTAGTTGAATCTTTGCAGTAACCTCGATGAGTAGTAATATGAGTGATATTGTTTTAGGAATTAGCATTACAGATTTGTATTCAAATATGAGTCTACTAAAATGTTATAGATGGAGAAACTATTGACTTGAGTGTGCAAATCTGATTGATAGATTATTGGTAATTATTATGCTTTGAAATTCTTATTACTAGTCGCAACGTCGGATTTTACAATAAACGATTGATTTTTTTTTGTCAATATTTTTTTTGTCAACAATTGATATCACTGTTGGCTTAGAGTTCTTTAGGTTGCGATTTATGTTTACTTCTCGTAATTTCAGTTTGATTGTTGATATATGAATTTTCCTTAACATGTTTGGCATTTGACAGGTCTGTGTCAGTCTGTCAGATCATATCAGGCATTGAAAATATTGGAGTATATATTCAAAAATTTATGTAATTTTTATTATCCATATAATTCTCTTGGGGCGAGAAACTGTTGCGTCTTTAGCGTTAGGTCAATTTTTGTAAAACAATTACATATTCTTCAACTTTACTTTATGTTCTTTGATTTGTTTGCTTGTAAAACTTTAGATATTTTTGTTCCTAAACAGCATAGATTCAGTTTGATGTCTTTGGGTTTTCTGCGGATGTGAAATAATTATTTAGAAGGAAGAATCATTGTTGAATCCGTAAGATAGCTGATTGTTTTACATTGACCAAGCTTAGTAACATTTAGAAAATCTGACTTAATTTGATCTTTAATTTGGTTAAACTTAGATTATCTGTCTTAATTTTATCTTAATTCGTAGGAATAAGAGAACGAGCAAGCAATCATTTGTCTTAATTTGGATAATTAGCAAACATTTGTAAAAATCGATGCACATTATGTAAAAAACCGACATAGCATTGTAAAGAAAAAGGGTCACATAGAAAGTTAAACAGAAAACTTAGAGAATTAAGACATCAAGACAAATAAAAACTCTTAAGAGAATCAATCAGTTTAGTCGACTTCTTCGATTTTGGGGCCAGCACCGCCGGAAGAAGGAGGAGCTTCATCATCGGCAGCAAAACCACCAGCTCCTCCTTGATACATCTTAGCGATGATCGGACTGCAAACACTCTCCAGCTCTTTCATCTTATCTTCAAACTCTTCCGTTTCAGCCAATTGGTTCCCATCAAGCCACTGGATCGCTTCCTCAATCGAATCTTCAATCTTCTTCTTGTCTTCAGCAGGAAGCTTCTCACCAATCTTCTCATCACGGAGCGTGTTCCTCATGTTGTAAGCGTAGTTCTCAAGAGCGTTCTTGGCCTCAACCTTCTTCTTATGCTCTTCATCTTCAGACTTGTACTTCTCAGCTTCTTGCACCATCTTCTCAATCTCGTCTTTAGACAAACGACCTTTGTCGTTAGTGATTGTAATCTTGTTCTTCTGCCCCGTGGTCTTGTCCTCGGCGGAGACATTGAGGATACCGTTTGCATCAATGTCGAAACAGACCGTGATCTGAGGGACGCCACGTGGAGCCGGAGGGATACCGGAGAGCTCGAACTTTCCCAAAAGGTTGTTGTCTTTGGTTCTTGCTCTCTCACCTTCGTACACTTGGATCAAAACACCTGGTTGATTGTCAGAGTAAGTAGAGAAGACCTGTTCCTTCTTGGTCGGTATCGTTGTGTTCCTCTGTATCAAAGTGGTCATAACTCCACCTGCTGTTTCAAGACCGAGAGAGAGAGGTGTGACATCAAGCAAGAGAAGGTCTTGCACCTTCTCGTTCCCTTCACCAGTCAGAATCGCGGCCTGAACCGCTGCACCGTAAGCCACGGCCTCGTCGGGGTTAATAGACTTGCAGAGCTCTTTACCATTGAAGAAATCTTGTAGAAGCTGCTGAACTTTAGGGATACGCGTAGAACCACCAACAAGAACAACATCATGAACCGTGCTCTTGTCCATTTTAGCATCACGGAGACACTTCTCAACAGGCTCCATACACTTTCTAAAGAGATCCATGTTAAGCTCCTCAAATCTTGCGCGAGTGATCGGAGAATAAAAGTCGATTCCTTCAAAGAGAGAGTCAATCTCAATAGTGGTTTGCGCGGTGGATGAAAGAGTCCGCTTTGCTCTCTCACAAGCCGTTCTCAACCTCCTAAGAGCTCTCGGGTTACCGCTAATATCCTTCTTGTTCTTCCTCTTAAACTCTTGAACAAAGTGATTAACCATTCTGTTGTCAAAGTCCTCACCACCAAGATGAGTGTCTCCAGCAGTAGACTTCACTTCAAAGATACCTTCTTCGATGGTGAGAAGAGAGACATCGAAAGTACCACCACCAAGATCAAAGATCAAAACGTTCTTCTCTCCAACGCTCGTCGCCTTCTTATCAAGGCCGTAAGCGATGGCTGCTGCGGTTGGCTCGTTGATGATACGCAAAACGTTCAAGCCAGCGATCACACCGGCGTCCTTTGTGGCTTGACGCTGAGAGTCGTTGAAGTAAGCAGGAACAGTTACCACAGCGTTCTTGATCGAAGAGCCGAGATAAGCTTCAGCAATCTCACGCATCTTGATGAGAACCATTGAAGAGATTTCCTCGGCGGCGAACTGTTTCTCTTCGCCTTTGTAGTTGACGACGATCATTGGTTTCTCCGCAGGTCCAGGGATGATCTTGAATGGCCATAGCTTCATGTCGCTTTGTACTGATGTGTCACTGAATCTTCTACCAATCAATCTCTTTGCATCTGTTCACAAGAAAAACAGAGTTTAGTCAAACATTCGTAGCAAAATCAACAAAGGGAAACCATTTAGATCTGATCTAGTACAGAAGTTCTCAAATTAAGTAAAAGCATATGAATGAAATTGAAATCGAAACGCTAATCAATCATCAGTTTCAGCTAATTTTTTTTGTTCAAGCTACTTAAACACCCTACAAATCCAACAATTTACAACAGCAACTACTTAATAAACGGGACGGGTATTGTTCAAACATTAATGCAAAGAGTTTAATCAAAATCGTTTGTGCAATTAGGATGATAAGATCTTCCTATAAACCCTAAAAATCAGAATTATGAGACCAAAGTAGAGAAAAAAAAAAAGGAAGAAGATGAAATTACATACCGAAGACGGTGTTAACTGGGTTCATGGCGACCTGATTCTTGGCTGCATCACCGATTAACCTCTCGGAGTCGGTGAAGGCGACGTAAGACGGCGTCGTTCGGTTGCCTTGATCATTAGCTATGATCTCGACACGGTCGTGTTGCCATACTCCGACGCAAGAGTAGGTTGTACCGAGATCGATTCCGATCGCTGGACCTTCTCCTCTACCCGCCATTATCAAATCAAACTAGCAGAGAAGAGCTTTTAGTGAAAAAGATAGACGAAAAGCTTTGAGCAGAGAATATCAGATTTAGTGATGAAGGATGAACGTTCAAGTTTTGGGTTTATAGCTTTATATAAATGCTAAAGACTAAAGATGTTTCGAGAATGTTCTAGTTTCTAGAGGTGTTTCTGACCGTTCGATCAGGTTAAAATAGATCCGACGGTTCTAGAAAATTGGAAAAATTGTCCGGTGGAAAAAAGGAAAAGGAGCAAATTGAACAAAACCAAAAACGCGGAGTGTAAAATTGGAAAAAATGTTATAATCAATTGGCTGCTATGACGGTCGCACACTTTCAAAGAAAACATAGCCGTGGCATTTCCGTTACGGGATATGACCCTTCGCTTCCTGCTGATGATGTTAAGAGAGCTTTGAGGAAACATTTCTCTTCATGTGGACAGATCACGGATGTGTTTGTTCTCAAGAGAAGGGCTATTTTTTTTTTTCGGACTAGGCACAGTACGTAGGGGGCTGAAACGTAGTCGAAGGGAGGTGAAACTTAGTGCAAGTGACGTGGGAGGATGGAAACTACTTGCTAAGGCCTTGCCGATACCGATGATGCGGAAACTGAAACAAACCATCCCTGAGGGGTTCGAGGCTGTCTTCGACTAACAAGACGACGGCAGATTAGAAATCTCTCGACCAGCTTTTTCGTGTTCGTGATACAATGTTTATTACTCGCTCAATATGTATGGCTTTTCTGTGTTGATGATAAAGTTAGACCATCTCTATTGGTAGAATCCCAATGGATTTTTAACAAAAATATTAATATAAAATTTTCATTATTTTATTTTAAGAATTTAGTAAAAGATTTTGTTTTTTTCGAGAGGTTCTTAAGAATTAAAAATTTATATTTTAAAATTTATTGTATTTTAATACATACCATATGAAAATATGAAGAAGTATACTACATTACATCATCATTAATCAATCAATTATAATCGCTTTTGGAAACGATTATCAAAGAACATGAACCTTGTGTCATATAAATGTAATGTGAAAATGATTCGGTTGTTTTAAATTAGAGAAAAAAGAAAATATGTAATACCATTTCTCACTTGCAAGCTTTAATCTGCAATCCATGTTTACTTCCACGAGGTTGTAAAGTGCACCAACAACTGCAGCTTGTGCATCAACAGCTGCAACTTGTACATCAACAGCTGGTATGCTTAAAAGATTGACTAATCGCTTGTGTATCTGCAAAAGGTTGATTTTGTTATGAACTTATTATGAGCAAGTAACCAGAAACCATAAGATGGTTATATTTTGAAAGAAGTTATCATACCTGTAGAATTAAGGGACTAATGAAAGGTTCATTGTCTGGATTGATTATCAAACGATCTAACAATTCAGCAGCAGCACAATTCCAAGCTTTAACGGAAGAATCTAGGATTCCGATCACAACTTGAATAACTTGTTGATGTAGGAGTTTACTCTACTTCAAATCCTACATATACTCATATCATTGTAGTATGTAGGTATCAATTCAAATGCGCAAAGTAAACAATCAGGAATGCAATAGACTAACTAATTCAAGCAAGCAATGATTAGATAAAAAGAACTATGGTTCTAATGGCTAGAGAAACTTCAAATGAACTAAAGAAAGAAAAGCAAGATCAATAAACTAAAGCAAGTTCGAATTCAGACAATCAAAAGACAAGTTGGGCTTGAGATAGGGTAATTGATCAAAGGAGACTTTCAGCTTAACTAGTGATGCTTATGATATATCACGGTTTTTACTGGTTTTTGACCATGATATAAGTCTTGTTTATAGAGTCTTTTTGGTATTTTTCGAGTCCTATAGAGTCTTTGCAGGTCTAGGTACAAATGGAGCATAACTGTGGATTTTGGAACCTTTTGGAGCTATATTGAAGTTGATGCTGAAAGGACCAAGTCGGAGGGCATTAAGGAGCAGGGTGTCGATCGACACCCACTACTTGGTGTCGATCGACACCGGTCGTGGTCGCAAAGAAGCATAAAAACTCATTGGAAGAAATTGCAACTTGGCCTAGAAGTTTCCCGCTATTTGCACTTTTGCCCCAGTTCGTGTTTAGACTTGTATTTAGGTTTTCTAAGCTATTGTTAGGCATCTATCTTGTTATCATTGAGACTAAGAGAGAGATTAGATTGAGAGCTTTTGGGGAGACAAATCCATACTCTGTAGAGAAGAATTTCGAACCCCTTCATCTTTTACTCTATTTTCTTAATGCAATTTTATTCAGTCATGATTTGTGTTTCACTTGCTATGTCTGAGTAATCTACTAGTTAGGTTTTGGGTTATTCAAAAGTTGATAATGAATTGTTATAACTACAAAACTGGAAGGATAAATCATTTGGTTCTTCATCTAGATTGCTTTAACACTGGTTTTAAAATTGATCACCTAGAAATCAGATCTTAGGTTGTTTAATAGATGTGGAAACATTGTTAATCACCAGAACTATCTTAGATGAGCAAAATAACTAGTTGCAAAGGAATTTGGATTAGTGATTTTGTGAACATATGGAACCTGATCTATAATGCATGTTTAGGTTGTTAGAATTTGCAAAAGAATTTGGAATTCTAGAATCTGATCATAGTTAATCTCTGCGACGGAAGTCGGTTGGTTTTACACTAGTGTTTCGAGTTCTAGAACGGTTTTAATAAATATTCCTTTCAGTCCGTAGTCTGCGATATGTCAACCTGCGAATTTCCCATTGCCTAGCATTTTGTCTTTATTGATTTTAAGAACCTACAGTCTACCCCTGCAATCATTGCTTTCGTTGTTATTTTAATTTCATCTCATTATTGTCTACTTAGCTTTATTTGAATCTAAAATCTGTTGAGTGATAGTCTTAAGTCATTGTGGATTCGATCCCTAAGTACTACAGTGATCTCTTAATTTGAGAGAGTAGCTCTAAGGGTTAATTTGAGCATATCAGCTTACAAACCCACAACAAGCTATTCCTAGGCATAGAAGTAGCAGTTATAACTAGCTCAATTCCTTGAATACTAATCACTTTGCAAAACACATATTCAAGACAATTTCCATTACTGAAATAGATGATCAACAAGCATTAAGAGCAACTAATCCAATTCTATATTGCCAATCTACTCCTTAGACATCTAATTCCTTAGGCTAAGATAAGCAAATCTCTTACTTCACTCATTCAGATATTTCATCAAACACTTATCAGACAAAAGAGAACCCTAGGATCTATGATACAAGCAGGGGAATCCACTCGTGATGTATAACTCTTAGATCAAGGCTTCGGCTGATCAACAAGTTAGTAATGGGACGAGTGGTCGGGTGGAATGAATGTATGGATCGAATGGCCGAGGAACTCAGACAGTTGAACCGATGGTCGAGTGGGATGAGGGACGGATCGAGCGGGACGAATGACTGGTCGAGCGGGACAATGGAATATGGTCGAATGGTGGAGGAACTCAGATGATTGGACCAATGATCGGATGGGACGAGTATTGTAAGCGGATGGGACGAAGTGTACCATAAAGGCAATGAAAACTCCTTTGATACAACACGTAGCTTCTCTATATATTTGGAGGTGATGGTCTCAAAAAAAGCAAGAGAAATAACACAAGATTTGTTATAATCTTTGTGAATAAAATTCGGGTATTTTATTAGAAAATCAAAAGGTCCTTTACAAGGCTATGAGAGGGGACCTTATAAATGGTCCTAACAACTATGCCTTTCTAGGGGACTTGAAACAAATTACACTTATTGAAATGCAACATTATTGGAATGAAATTTATGAAAATGGTGGCTAACAAATGCCTTAACTAATTAAACGAAAATAAATTACTTGATTGCTAAAGATCGATCATAAGGAGAAAACACAAAGAGGTTAGTCAACTGACTTAATATAATTAACGGGACTAAAAGACTTACCTTCTTTGGTATGGTGTGATTAAGTGGTAATGCATTCTCTTTTTACCGTGATTTTGGTTTTTAAGTGCCTTGCTCAAGTGTGGAGATAACAAATAAATTGGTGTGGGCTTTGTTTGATTTTAAGGGCCAGTTATCTTCCATATTATTCAAAGGGTCAGTCCAAGTGTTGATATCCATGCAGATCTCTTGATATGTTTGGACCGTTGCTTGTAGAATGGCATGATTGTATTTATTTTGGAGTGAGCGTGCCCTTTGTCTAGTCATTACTCTTTTGTTTGGAACCGGTATCTCTAACTCTTGAGAATCTTGTAGTTGAGGCTCGTTAGGTCTGGTTCAGTTGAGATGTCCTCATCATTCCCTCTCTCTTGAATAGATTTTGGCCCCAAAATTGTTTCATCTGCCAAAAATGGAGCTCAATCAGTAACATTAAAAGTGGGGGATACATTTAACTCACCTGGTAATTCAAGACGGAGGCATTGTTTTTGATTCTTTCGATGATTTTGAATGGTCCATCTCCTCTTGGCTTAAGCTTCGAACTTCTCTGGTCCGGGAATCTTTCTTTCCTCATATGCAGCCACACCCATTCTCTCGGTTGAAATATCACTTCTTTCCGTCCCTTGTTGGCATGTCTTGTATATTGCTCCGTTCTTTTCTCTAGACTCTCTCAGGCTTTTTGATGAAGTTTCTTGATGAATTCAGCCTTCTCATCGCCAAGTAAGCTTAGTGCTTCTGCTGGTGGTAAAGGAGTCAAATCAAGTGGAGTTGTGGGGTTGAATCCGTATACAACTTCGAATGGTGACATCTTGGTGGCTGAGTGTTGAGCTATGTTGTAAGCGAATTCTATGAATGGTATACACTCTAACCAATTCTTCATGTGCTTGCCAATAGTTTCTCTTAGTAAAGCTGAAAGCGTGCGGTTCACAACCTCCGTTTGGCCGTCCGTTTGTGGGTGACAAGTGGTGGAGAAAAGAAGCTTAATCCCTAGCTTCTTCCACAAGGTCCTCCAGAAGTGACTCAAAAGCTTGCTGTCTCGGTCAGAAACTATAGTTCTCGGAACTCCATGTAGCCGTACTACTTCTTTGAAGAATAGATCCGCGGTTTGAGTTGCATTGTTCACCTTAGCACAAGGAATGAAGTGTGCCATTTTGGAGAATCTATCCACCACCAGGAATATAGAATCTTTATGGTTGATCTTTGGTAATCCTAGGACAAAGTCCATAGATATATCAACCCAAGGAGCCGTAGGGATTGGGAGCGGCAGGTATAAGCCGTGCGGATGA